CTTTTTGATATCATTATTCTCCAAAGACTATGGGACTTCATCTCATCATTTGTGCAGAAAAACTGTTTTCAAGTATTATAAAGACTTGTCATACAATACTTGATTTCTTCATGGCCTTAAGGAACAGAACTAAGAAAAATAAGTGGAAGTTTAGAGAGAAAAAAATCTCAGTTTAGTTTAAGAAAGAGCTTTTTAAGCTTTCAGAGCTAGCTCAAGATGGACTATGCTCATTTAGTAGGTGGTGATATTTCTGTCACTTTGGCATGCCTCAGTGATTTAACAAGTCCTGGGTGAAATCCCAGTGCTCAGCAGTGAAAAATTTATTTTAGCCTGGAATAAAGAATACTTGATCTGAAGACATCAGTCATCCATCTCTCGTCCCAGCCCATCTCCTATTCCCCATCTAAGAAGGGTAGGAATCTTTCTATGTGTTCATTCCCTCACCTAAGAGCAAAACTCCCATCTGGTCTACCATTTGTTTTGTCTTGACAATCTGGGACTCCAAAATGCAGTATACGGGAAAATCAGTTTTGGTCTCCAGGGGATCCTTCCCTCTGCCTGTGCTATATGGTTAACACCACAAAGAATTATGTTAATTTATTCAAGTTTTTCTCTGACTCAAAAATGTAGACAAGCTGCTTTTCTGATGAGTAAGAGAACTTTTGATGCACCATGCAAGTTGCCTGTTGACTTAATGGTCTTCCTTCCATTCCTGCTAACTGATGTCATAATTTCATTTTTTAAGCTCTCAAAGCTATAGACTTAATTTTTGCTAATATTGTTCTTTTTTCCTGAACTTAAATTTTAAGGGCTTTATGTATTCTTTTATAAACAGTAACTTTTACAAAATTTGAGAAAAAGGTGTGTTTTAAAAACCTTTAATGGAGTTAGAAGAGATGGTTAAGGCTAATTAAAATGACTGAGAAATTAACCTTTTTTTTTTAAAGGAAAAAAAATATTGGGTATATTTGATCCAGAAACAGGTCAGTTATAATGTGCCTTGATAAAAATCTGTGAAATCATTAGTCTTAGAAAGATTGACATGACAGTCTTCAGAATGTTCTGGACTACCAGATTGTGTGCACTTCCCTTGAAGTTTGAGAAAGTTAAATTTTTCACTATTTTACCATTGACAAAAACATATATTTTTACCTTCTTTTCCTTTGCTGTGCCACATACCCCAAGTGTCATCCACAGAAACATGCATCTCCTCTGTTCTACACTCAACCAATTACACTATTTGAGAAAAAAACTCATGAAAATTTTCCAAATGTCCATAGTGGAAGAGACATATCAATTTAAATTTTTTTTTTTTTTTAATGATGGGAAGTTAGACTTCTGATGCCTTCAAAATTTTCCAACTTTGGTTAAGGATCTTTTCATTTCTAAAATCTCTGTTCTGAGTGAAATCCTCAGGCCATATAAATTAGGAATGTAATTTCTGGCAAAAAATTCTCTTAAAATTCTAATCAAACAGTAAGGGAGATTCATGGAATTCTCATTACAATGAGATTAAATCAGGTTTTGAGCTTAAGTTTAGACCTGTGCAGGCTAAAAGGGTAGTCACAGCTCCCCAGGCACATTTTTTTTTAACACAGAGGGACATGTGGTTGATGGTTTAGTTTTGAAATACACTAAAGATATTCTCTATGATTCTGACCTGAAATGCTTCCAACCTTGGTAATATTCATGTATGGAAATCTTCACACAGTCTCAAATGTGTAAATTCTTATGAGGCTATGAGTTCTTATGTGTTTGGTTTGGTTTTGGTGTTTGGGGTTTGTTTTTCTGTTTGTTACAGTTCACATGTATCCATGAGAGAAAATTTGACTGAAGAAATCCAAATGGCTCCAGGATATACTAAAAACTGCAGAGAAATCTTAACATAATTTCTCAAATGACCAATTTGAATTTTTTAATGAAAGAAAAAGGAAATGAATGAATGAAATGAAAGAAAAACAAACCTGGAGAGTTGGATTTGGTAATTAAAGAACTGTTACCTAAATGTGTGTGGTGAGAGCATCATGTATTTTTTATTTGTCTAAACTGTGTGTTTTAAAATCATTGCACAGCTCTATGTTTATAGTTTGTACATTTAAAAGCTATCAATAAAAACATGATCTCTGAAAATCTGTGGATTTACCTGATGGTTTTCTATGTAATTTTATAAGGAAGGAATAATTTACTTAATTTTGATGATTTAAAATACCTTAATTATGTTGTACTGTAAGCACAGCTATAATTCTGTTTGTATACAGTATCTGCTTTTCTTGATCAAGTGTAATATTTTAAGAATATTCTTCATGAGACAAAGGAGGAAAATCTAACTAGCAAGATAATGTTCTCAGTATTTTCATTCTTTCCAAATGCTTTCAAAGTGGATATGTCACTTTTCAAACATGGCAAATAAAATATTTATAGCAGAGAATTGGGTTTCCATAGATAACAGGAATGAACTGAGGAAATAATTGTCTTAGATTATCCCTTTACAAGGAACAGAATTGTACTCAAATAAACTCAAGAAAATGTAGTGTTTTAAGTGGATAAGGATTTCATGACCTCTAAGATAAAACTAAACCACCAGACATCAAGAGGAGCAGGGACCGGGGGTCCCGGGGGCCGCAGCAGCCTACATTCATGTTCTGACTCTCATGATCCACCATAAACATGGGACAATGAGTCTGACTGACTTGGTCTAGTCTATGTATTGGCTCCTTCTTGCCAGGCAGTATCCTTGATCAAATCAGAGTGGTTGGGGATGTAGAATGTATGAGAGCATATTTTCTTAGAAGGTATGTAGAAGGGGAAAAACAGACCATATACAGGACAATCACTGAAATAATTAAAACTTGGTTCATGCAATATAGCTCTTAAACTTCTGTGTCAGTGTTTGAATTAGTCTCCTTAAAAGATCAAAGCCTGATGCCGACATCCTTGTCTTTGAAAGGAATTTCATGGATATAATTCAGAAGTCTCTATCTAATATACTTTAGCTCCAAATATAAATAAAATTGCAAAATCAGGCCAACAAAGTCTACTGAAAACCTTAGTTTTCATTAATATGAGTAATTGTGTATTGAAAAATCTCTGGGACACCTAGTTTTACAACTATGACTCCCAGTAATTGTTTTAAGTCTGGATATTATGAAAAGTTTAATAATAACTGTAATGAGGAAGAAATAATCAGCACATATGATGGGGTATTAGCATCTCAACTTCCAACATCTGAGCCACAAAGGGAGCCTCTGCTCTTTTTTTTTTACTCAGACATCATTTCTCAGAATGGTACAACATGGTTTCCTTTCTTTCCTGCACAAACATTAGTCCCTGGCAGTAATTTAGGAATTCAGATCATCTGAAGCCTTCCTCCGCCTTCACCCCGTTAAGGCTGTCCTTCAGCAGAGCCGGAATGACCGACAAAGATGTTGCTCCCTGTCTTAAGTGCTTTAATAGTGTTCCCTGGCTTACAGGTTAAAGTTCAAGCCCTTCTGCAATCTCAGAGTGCAAATTCCTTCTTGCCAAGTGCATTCTTTCCTCTCCTGGGTCTTCTCCTCCTACTCTCAACCTTATAATTGACACTTGGTTAATAAGAAAATACTTGTCACTCTCATTTACCTTACAATTCCAGGTCTTTTCAATGCTTTTCCCTCTGGTTGGAATGTTCCCCAATGCCTTTCTTTACCTAACCAATTTCTACTCTCCTGTAGAGACTAAGATCCTGGCTACCTAATTCTAGGAATATTCCTTGAAACTATCAAACTAGAGTGAAATACTCCACTGTTTTCCAAAAGTATCCTTTGCATGCCTCAATCACAATATTTATGATATTATATTGAAATAATCAGTTGGGTCTATTACTCCATAAACTCCATAAACTCCATAAAATTAGTTCAATGTTGTACTACCAGTACATACTGGGGACTTGATATATTTAGATTTGTTGAACAGAATGGAACTTGTGACACAGTTAATATGCTCATACTGCTTCTGGCAACAGAAAACTAAAGCCATTCCATAGGGAATGTGAAACCCCAATAGAAGTCAAGAAACTAACAAACTCACTGTTTTTAAAATATTCAGCTTTCTGAGTAAAGTGAGTTTAATCTTTATATTTTTCTTAATAGTTTGCTGCAGAAAAGTGTCTGTGCTTAGGTATAGCCCAAAAGTATTTCCTTGGCTTCTGGCTTACAGCCTGGAAGATTTTCAACACTTTGCTTAACATACAAGTGATTGTTCAAGCAGTAGACACCCTGATGAGTCTTGCGGTCTGGCTGAAATCATACATTTTGACATTAGAATTCCATAATCATGACTATCACAAATGATGTGATTTGGTTCAACTACCCAAATCAAGAAGAATATTTCTGTTGTTCTATATCCTAAATTCTTCATTACTTTATATTTTTAAGTATACTGAGAATACAAATAAGAGCTTCATAAGTGCTCTAAAGGAGAGCTCTATGTACATAAAATAAATAAAATAGATAGATCACTATCTATTGATTGTTCAGAGAAAATTCTGTGTCCTGTATTACCTGCATCTCTCAGGTAACCAGGATTTGGAGTTCAGCATATCTGAACTGTCCAGATAATTGCTGCTGTTCCCCATTTCACTAAACTAATATAAGAATGGCCTAAGCACAATTTTTAAATGAAGCAAAATGAAATGAAACTGAAGAAACAAGGTAAAATTCTACTTTCTTATTAATGGTAGAATTGAATTATTTATAAATGAATGCTTTTGTTTTATATTCTGCACATTCTAAAACTATGTCAGGAGGACTCCCTAGAGAAGATCACTGTTTTTCTATTCAATATTTATTTTTTTCAGAGCATTTGAATTACCAAAGAGAGACTACCTTAGAACTAATCACAGGTGAGCACTACAAAACATGCTTCTACAACTTTCCTCCCTTTCTTCTTCATCCCTTCATCAGTATGTACTTGTTTATACCTTCTCTCCCTCGTTTACAGAATCCAGTGGTAAAAAAGTTCCTTACTTGGTATTATGTGTGTCAATGGTATGGAAGAGCTCATGTAATTCTTCTGCACTCAGAACACCATCTGCAAAATATGCTTTGAATTCTTCAAAAGACAATTTCCCATCATCTGAAATGGTAAGAACAGAAAAGAAGCAAATCATTGCAACTTTGTATATTATCTCTTAATTTATAAAACTGTTCAAATGCTTAAAGGTTTATGTGTGCATGCACACACATGTATTCAAAAATAAAGAATAACTCAGTGTTAAAAGAAAAATAACTTACTGTATTTTTAAAGTATGCAGACTGCAGGTATATATATGATAAAATAAGTCTACAGATTTTAGGTATTTTTTGGTTCATTTATTCATACGGCAAACATTTAACATGCAATTTAACTGGACATACCAGTTATGTCCAGTTAAAAAAAAAGACATCCACACAACCAAATAAAAGCCCACGCCAGAGTCAATTATTTAGATATTTTTGTCTTCATTTATAGGACCTAGAACATTACAGAATAAATGGATGTTTAATAAGTGTATATTGGTTGAACAGACACTAACATATTGGCTATCAGAATTGTTATTACAATGCAACAAACTGTGTTCATTCCTTTGCTCTTTAAATAAATGAACACCTTTTAAGTCAAACATTTTATTTACTGTGGGATACAAAAGTGAAAGACAATTAGGGGATCTAATATAAGAGATAACATGCAGACATTAAGTATGTTACATAATAAAACACAAGTGTAATAAAAGATACACTTAGGAATGTATGGGAGTTTGGGTAATAAACAATCCTTTCATCCAGGGACATGAAGAATTTTGGTAATTTCTGCATCTGACTTTGAACAACAGGTAAATCTTGATAAACAGACATGGAAGAAACTTTAATAACAGCTGAAAGTGAAAGACTTGTACAGGACATAGTAGCAGAGAACTTAATGAATGAATGGACATGAAGGGAGAGGAAATCATCCCTCTCTCTCTATGCAAGGAGCTGGTCTGTCAGTTATCTCAGGGAAGCTGCCAAATGACTAAGTGATAGAACGATCCTCTCCGTTCACAAAGAGGCAACTGGAGCCTAAGTAGGAAGGAACTGTACCAGGGTCACAGTGTGGTACTACCAACACCACACTGGACAAAGCAGAATTTGTCTTTGAGTAGAAGACAGTATGATTTAATAGGCTTGGATGATCAAGGCTCATTTAAAGCATATTTTTCCTTCAAAAAATGGCCCACAGACCACCCAGAGTTCTGTTAAAATGCAGATTCCTGGGCCCTACCAGAGAATCAGGATTTCACAGAGGGCACAGAATCTCACTTCTGGGCAGGTAAGAGCTTGGGAGTTTTAGCAACCTGTGTGATTACTCCTTACACTAACTTAAAGGACAAAATAGATCTAACCACCAAATCAATTTTTTCAGATAGGGAATTAAAGTGAGTTTTTAAATTGATTTAATTTTGCTTTTTAACTTAATAGGTATATTAAACTAACCTTCCAGGTAATTCATGCCAACAGTTAACTGGGAAGACATAGCCTTAGGAGTCATAAAAATCCAATTCTGGATTAAGCAAAGAATGAGTTCCTGACCCCCCAGTAGTCCTCTGGAGCAGCCTAGCTCAGCCTGGCTCTGTGATTCAAACACCATAGCAACCCACTAGAAAAGAAAATTTAATCCACCAAGCTCATCAGTTGTCTAATTTTGTGTTTCTGGTTTTGGATAGGCTACTTTAGTGTCATGTGTCAAGTGACTATTTTAAACTTTAGCCCCATGTAACCTGGTATATATCCCAGAGTAGACTTAGTATGGTATCTCTACTGTGCAACTCGTTACTTTGACAAAAATTATATTGCCAAGTTGGAGAAATGGACACAAACGAGATCTATGCATATGTCAAGAGAGAAAGGGAAAGGCTTTTTCATCTACTACTTAAAAAGGAAGAAAGAAAACCAGAAATCAACCTACTATGGTGCTCTGTAACAAATGTCATACAGTCATTTTCATAGTGAACTGTTTTCCTGTGAATATTTAATAGTCCTCAGGTGAGCTAACTCAAGCTATTGCAGAACTTTAGCCTATGCATCTTACAGCCAGGGTGGGTCTCTGTAATATATTCTGTAATTACCATAATGAGTTCAAGTCATCACGGACATACTATCAAGTAGAAGCATTGGATACCAACTGCTGTGATGATTCTGTGGGGCCTAAAAGCCTTCCCCCCCTCAATTCTTACAGAAAATAAAACGAAAAAGGAGGCACTGAATTAGAGTCCTGACTTGAAGTATAGAAAGTGCACTTTAAAACTCTTATTTTTACCACACACAGGATTCCTGAAAATCTTCAATACAGGGTGTCACACTTTTAAACAACTTCAAAGAGTTACTTTGGAATATTTCTAGACTAATGCCTTAATATTAAACAGAAGTATTACATTCTTTAAAGGAAAGGGAGAAAAAAAATATCTCTTTCTAGTGTGATTCTGCATTAATAAAGCAATTATAAAATCTTAATTGAAATATTTTATTTCAATTTTCCTGCTGATCTTTTCTTGTGAAATGGAACAATATAGTTCAACCTTGATTTATCCTGCCCTGGCTCACAGAATAGCCAAATCTTGTTAAGTCTGACATCTTATCATAATAAATCTCAACCTTTACCACCAAAGGATACAAAGGACAGGTTTTTCAGCTTTTTCTATTAGAATTGTATGCTTTCCAGAATTTGTACTTAGCATAGCTGATACTTCTATGCTTTATTTTAAAGTCATTCTGGTCTTATACTCTACACTCCATTAATTTTTGAAATGGAGGTAGCAGATTGCAGTTGCTTAGAGCAGTCTTAGAACAAAGAAACTCTTGAGTTTTAACATGTATTTCCCATTTACTTGTATAGCGCTGTCATCTAATCATTCATCAAATATTTATCAGGAGCCTACTATGTGCCAACACTGTTTTGTGCTAGGAATATACATAGATAAGTCTTTAAGGATCTTGTAACTATGATGGAAGACACAGCAAATGAATACCCAAATACAATATGAAAAGGGCAATTCTCGGGGACATAGGATGTAGGAGCATATAGGGAAAAAACTACTCCAGATGTAAGGGTATAGAGAAAGCCAGAATAAATGACATTTCAGCTGAGCTACAAATGAAAAATAGGGGTCAGTGGGGGAAGACCTGCAAAGAGGAACAGTATTCCAGGCAGGGGGCATGTCTACTACAAAGCTAGGAGGCAAGAAAGAATACAGTTGGAGATTGAAAAGAAAAAAAATCAGTATACTCAGTCAAAGAGTATGTACTGGAGTAGAATAGTAGTTACCAGGGGCTGGAGGTAGGGGAAATGGAAGATGTTGGTCAAGGGGTGCAAAGTTTCAGTTATGGGAGATGAATAAGTTTGGAGATCTAACATACAACAGTGTGACTACAGTTAACAATATTATATTGTATACTTGAAATTTGCTAAGAGGGTAAATATTAAGTGTTCTCCCCACACATAAGAAAAGAAAAGAAAATAGTAATATTTGAGGTGATGAGTATGTTCAGTAGTTTTATTATGGTGAATATTCCACATGCATACATATATCAAATCATCAAGTTATGCACCTTAAAGATACACAATTTAAAATTGTCAACTATACCTCAATAAAGCTGGTGAAAAAATGCACACTGGGAGGGAAGGAGAAGCAGCCAGTTAGATACAGAGAGTCATTTTCATAAAAAACTGTAAAAATCATGGTAAAGACTTTTGGGTTTACCCCAGGAGGAACCGATGTCATAATGGAAAGCTTACTTTGGCTGCAGAGAGAATGGAGTGGAGAGGTATGCCATTAGAAGAAAGACCCATTAAAATGACACGGCCAAAATTCAGGCAAGAATCAATGGTGATAAAAGCTTTGATGATGGCAATGAAGACACAGATAATTGGCCAGATTTGTAATACATTCTGGAAATAGAGTCAAAAGAAACTGTTGATGAGTTATAGGTGATGGGCAAGAGTGACAATAAATCAAGGATGACACCAAAAGTATGGTGTTAAGAAATTGGATGGTATTTCTGTCCACTGCAAGAGAGAACACAGAGCCAAAACCATGGGGTGAAGTACCGAGTGTTCCTTTTGATATACTGAAATTAGATGTAACATAGGTAGAGGCATCCAGTGGACAGGAGCATCATATGGATCTAAAAAAGGGGGTGGGGGGGGGAGGAATGGAAAAAGATGGCAGCATGAGAACTGAGGCAGAAACATACACCCAAAATCACATAAAACATGAAAATACAGCAGATACAACTAATCCTGAAAAAGCAACCCAAGGACTGCAGAACAGACTGCCTATATCTGGGGAAAAGAGATCTCACAGAAAAGGGTAAAATAGCAAAGCCATGATATAGTGTGACCCAAGCCCTCTCCCACTACCAGCCCACAGGCAGAGGGAAGAGAAATGGAGTGGGAAGGGAGTAGAAGCCAGGACTTCTGAACACCCAGGTCTGGAGATCTGTTCTAGGAGCATGAACCCACACTGCATGCTGCTCTGGAGATTAGTGGGGTTGGAAAGCAAATATGGGCAGAATACTGGAAGAGACTGAGATTCTAGCCACTTGTGAAGAACAGTGTGCATAACCGGCACCCCTGGGACAAAAGAAAGGTGGGCAGTTTGAAAGTTTTCCCAGCAGTGAGAGGGGCACTAAAGGGGCAAATATTACAGAACTCGCTACTCAGGAGAAAGGGCGGGTGGACAAAACCTTCCCAGCACACTTAGCCCAGCAGATTAGGAACTCTCAGGAGATTCAGATGCTCCATATCCTTGGCTGGCAATGCACCCTTGAGGGCCCCTACTGTGATACAAAGCCCACCACTCATTCCTCCTGGCAGGTACTAGTCCCCAGATACCGCTGCCCTGCCATCACAACAGGTCAGCCGAGGGTAGCCCTGCCTGTGACAGTTACAGGGGCACAGAACAGAAGCTCCTCCATGCACACTTGGCCCACTGGACTGGGCAATGGAGGCAGGCACTGCCTCCAGGGAGAAGGAAAGAGATCCTTCCTCCTGGTGGGCACCAGTGCCACATGCCTGCAACCCCTGCCATAGCTCCTGGTGCTCAGAAGTTCCAAAGAGTA